CTATCTAGATGAATCCCTAAGTCTAATGCAGCACAACACCACACAAGTCAAACAACATAAAGATAAGGCAAACCAGCCTGACAAACCCCTATCTACAAAACAAGAAACTACCCCTGAGCAAGACCCCTAAACAAACCTAAAACAGGCTTAATCTATCCCTGAACAAAACTCTATGCAACACCTTAAGCAAATATCTAAGCAAAACTCTAATCAAAACCCTAAGCAAGAGGAATGAATCCCAGCCTCCAAGCTTCAGAACAAGCTTACCAAAGAAAGGGAGCTAAGCAGACAAACTCATAGTGCCTTACTCAGGAAAGCACCAGGAGGTTACCACTCAGGAATCATATCCTATGCGGCTCGACAACTGTGAACGGTTTACATTCCTCCTCAGGAGAAACTAAACTCACACGAAGGCTCCAGCGTCATTGGATATTTGAGAAAGCCTATAAGAACTAAGGGAACTAAGTGAACAGACCCGTAGGACCTTCCTCAGGAAAGTACTAGGAGGCTTCCACTTAGGAATCGTATCCTATGTGGCTCAACAACTGTGATCAGTTTACATTCCTCCTCAGGAGAAACTAAACTCACATGAAGGCTCCAACATCATTGGATACTTAAGAAATCCTAGATGAACTAGAGGAACTAAGTGAGCAGACCCATAGTACCTTCCTCGGGAAAGTATTAGGAGGCTTCCACTTAGGAATCGTATCCCATGCGGCTCAAAAACTGTGATCAGTTTACATTCCTCCTCAGGAGAAATTAAACTCACATGAAGGCTCCACCATCATTGGATACTTAAGAAAGAGGTGAGAAGAAAGAATGAAAGTCATTCATAGTGCCTTCCTCAGGAAAGTACCATAAACTCCCTTCAAACTTCAGGATCTCGAACCTCACAAACAAAGAACAAGCTCCTAGACTAGGCCTCAACCCACTGCATCCTTGCAAGCTCCAACAGGACTTCATCCAGCCTCCATCTTCAAGAAGAAACCACAGATCCTCAAACCACAAGAAACTATCTCTGAAGTCCAACCACAGTTGAACTCCAAAGTCTGAAGCCATCAAGACTTCTCCTATCCTCAAGCTCAGACAAAAAAAATCAGAACACCCTACAAAAATCTATCAAAAATCTAGGGGAAACCTACATGGCTCTATGATCCCAAGATCAAATCTCAAAGCCTAAGTCAACTTCTAAGGCTACTAAACAATCCCTAACATGTGAAGGGTCAAGGGTTAACCAACAAGTCGTGAAGTCTCTATTCTCTAGCCCTAAAACAATATCAATCAACCTCTAAAAAATCTATGAAAAATCTATGGGGAACATGCATTAGTCTAGTACAACATACTAAAAAATCAGAGCAAAATTCATTACCAGATGAAATAACTAAAATCAACAAGGCAGACGTGCCACAAACCAATTATTCAATATCAATAACAATGCAAAAAAATGTAATTAAAATGAAAATGCATGATTAAGCTAATGTTTTTGTACTATAAAATTCTACATTGAATTACGAGTCTACAGGAAAAAGAATGGAATTATTTGATCGAATCTACTATTTTTTATGAATTTTCTTCTAATATGCATGAACAAAGAAAAATAAAGAAAGGAAAAAGAAAAAGAAACAAAACAGGGGGGTGCGAATAGCGCTAATCCTAGTTATTTATCCAATGGGCCCAAAGGCAGGGGGTGCGAAAAGCAGAAGGCGCAGGCCCATTACACTTCAGAAAATCATTGAAAAATAAAAGAAAAAGAAAAAACCGCTGGTGCAGATAGTAAGGAATCTTAGTGTAATTCTTATTGGGCTGAGATGAGGGGGTGCGGGTAGCAGGATTTGTACTAAGCCCATCAGAATCCATTCTATCTCTTCTCTCGCAGGGGGGAGGGGGGGTGAACGAGTAAACTAGGGGTACGCTTCAGCAATCCCAACTTAGGCTCGGCCCAACTGAACCCTAATCCAAGTAACTAAACAACAAAACCTAACTCTCATCTCCCAACCCGGTCTACTGTTCATCATCTAAACCCTAACTTCGCCGCTCCCCAACCTCCCTCCTCTCTGCAATCTCTGAAAACAATCTCTCAAAACAACCTCAAACATCTCTGAAACCCTCAAAACCTAATCAACCAAGATCATCTCCGCCTAATAATGCTAACCCTCAAATCTCAAACAAGAAACCCTAAATTCAATGAAAAACAAACAGCGATGGAGGTGGTGAAAGGGCAACGAACCTGGAAAGACGAACGACTTGAAGTTCCTGAGATTTCTTGAGGGTTCAACAAAGGTCGCCGCGAGAGAGAAGAAGATTTTGATGTTTTCTTGACTGTTGAAGGAGCTCGTGGAGGCCCTGAGGGAAGCGTTGAAGCTCGTTCGAAGTTTTCTGGACAAACAGCGAAGAACTCAACGAGTTCTATGAAGATCTGGAAAAGGTTCAAGAACCGATGAAGATGATGATTCTGGAAACTGATAGATCTTGAAGGTCTTTGGAGTTGCGTAGATGTTCTGAGGAATATCTTTAAAAGATCGTTGAAGATCTTGAAGAGGGATGACGAACTACGATGATCTTCTTCGAAGGTTGTTGACGGATGGTGTTTGGTGGTTGTTAGAGGTTTCTGGAAAAATCAGATGAACGATGAAGGTTGGACTTTGAAGATCGATGGCGATTTGATGACGTTCTGAAGAAATCTGGGCAATTCCTTGAATTTTCCGGTCACGGATGAAGTTTCCGGTGACCGTTGGTGAAGGTGGACGGAGGAAGAAGGGGGAAATTGGAGTGTTTCTGGGTTTGCTGGGGATTTAGGTGGTGGCCGGAGTTGGTTGGGCTTGCCGGCGGTGAGAGTTTCACCGGATTTGCATGCCCGGCGGTAGGGGCCCCGGCGAGAGCTGCGGTGAGGCCACGCGGTGAGGGTGCTGGCAGAGGGAGACTGTGCATGTGGCACACGTGGCCTGAGAGAGAGGTGGTGTGACGTGTGGCAGCAAGGGAGAGAGAGGGATCAGAATGAGGTGTCAGCTTCTGGGTGCAGAGAGTTGTGAGGTGGGGGGCTCCAGAAGTGGACGCGTGGCCACTTATATATTGGACACTTGGCGTGTAATTCTCTGGACTGAAAAAATGAAAAAAAAAAACACAATGGGCCTCCAAAAATCTGCTGCTGGGCCCACGAAAATGGCCACAAAACCCTAAAAAAAAAACTGAAAAAAAACTGATTAATATGCAAAATGGATTAAAACCTGATTAAGTCTAATTAAAACTAATCAAAACCTAATTAACTAATTAACCTGACTAATTAATTCTAAAACTACAATTAATAAAATTCTAATAATCTCTATTTAAAAACTATTAAATTTCTATTAAAATTCTAATAAACTCTACATTATTTATTTACAACTACTAAAATTCTATTAAAAAAAAATAAAAGAAACATCTATATTCTTTTCTACATTATTCTAAAAACAATTAAAAACAATTTTAAAATCTATTATATTCTAAAAATGATTTAAAAACTATTAAACCAATTAAAAACCTATTTAAATTCTAAAAAAAATCTATAAAGCTCTAGAAAAAGGTTTAAGCTATTTAAAAAAAAGTTTAAAAATCTATTTAAATCCTAAAAATGATTAAAATGTCTATTTAAAATCCACAAAAGTCTATTAAGCCCTAAAAAAATGCAGACAAGTGCAAATGACTAATATAAAAGATAGCTCGAGATCAGATCAAATCGAACAGTAAACCCCCGGTATCAGAAATATCCCGAAAACCACCATGCAAGCTGAAAATCACCGAGGAGCGCACAATTTCCCGAGAATAAAACCCTGATGATCTGGACTGGATCTGCCATAGCTAGTAAATGAAACCCAAGCTGTAACTCTGATATCCTCTGTCTGGGCACAAATATCATGCGTCTGATTTGCGAATATGAATTTAAACCACGAGTCAGATAGGAGAATCGGTTGGTCAAATTTTAGGGTGCAACAATATGAGGATATAATCTTTACATGTGACATCCAGTCTTACTGTGAATTTCATACATGGTGATAAAAGATCGACTATCTGATCCCTTTTTTTCAACATTTTGTTTGTTTAATTTATGTTTATTAGTTTTAATGTTGTTGTAATGAGATGAAAGGAGATATGATGATATTTATCCAAACGGTTCTGTTATAGATGATGAAACAAACATGGACTACCATCTGATCTCTTTCAAATCTCCTCTCACTTTTTCTATTGTTTTTATATCATTTGTGTGCCTATGGTATCTGATGTCCAGTATTTAGACTTCTGTCTTGTAACTGGACATCTGAATAATTTGTATAATCATAATTTTATTCTGCCTACCCTACACTATATTGATCAGATATTGAGATTAATGGATTAAAAATAGATAGATCAGAAAAATTGATTATTCCCTAATTAAAAACAAAAGTAAATTGTCGTATAAGAAATACTAAAGCGAGTCCCCATTCTTAGAACAGGAATATGATAGAGTTTACAAACGGTGCATGTATGTAAAGTAAAGGATTAAGTTGATAAGGAGGATATATATTGGTTTTTAAACTGTTTTTTTAAACTACATTCATTCCATGACCACAAGGTCCAAAAATGGCATAGTCTGTCCACGCCTGCATCCCACTCTCCTTATTACTCTTGCAGAACCACAGACTGTTAATAATAGAAATGTACAAAGAGAGAGAAAAGGAGAAACGGAAAGTAGTTACAACAGAATTTTGTATTTCCAGAATTGGTTACAATTGGGGGAGAGGTAGGTTTATATAGAAAACCTCTGTGCACACTGCTGCCTTACAATATATCTTTATACAATGTATTTTCTACTCTATTATATATTTATATTACTATAATAGTGTGAACGAAAATTCTGAAATAAGTATGGAATATATGTATGTTTTATTCGAATCCATTGGGAATGACATGATGCCTTATAGAGCTGCTTAATCCACCAATTCGGATTTGTTTACTTATTTATACAAGTGATTTTGCTTTTGCAGGAAATGTCAACAAAAGGATCATCTAAACTAAATACTTTGTGCAAACTATGGAAAGATTTAGATGAACCTTTTAAAACAAGAATTAACAATAGAATAGAAAATAGGGGTCAAGGTTATACATTATTAAGAGTTTTAAAGCTTGTCCAAGATAACTCATCGGAAATTTCAACATCATTGTTTGAAATGTTCATGAGTTATTATGGACTTCAAGAAAATTACAATTGTTTTCATGTTTGTGGTATTAACATGAACGTCTCATTGGAAGACGTTCTGTTTTTGACCAACTTGCCCATTACGGGCCGAGCAATTATATCTGAAAGCAATAAAGACCCTATGGCTTTTAACCAGGTTTTTTCCTTATCTGCTGTTAATAAACTTAAGTTAAGTGTGTTAAAAAATATTTGCTGTGATTTAAGTAAAAATGATGATGATAGGATAAAAGCTGTCCTCCTTATGATTGTGTCTTGTCTGATCATTCCAAGTGGGGATGGCCAAAACTGCAAAACCACATACGTCCAATTTATTGAAAAATTGGACGAAGTGGATTCTTATGCTTGGGGAGCGGCACTATTGGCCTTTCTATATCAAGGTCTAAAGGAGAATCATTTACGTAATAAGAAAGTTGACGGCTTTGTATGGCTGATAATGGTAAGTGCATATTTTTTCTTATATTTTTTTTTTCTTTCTTATCTTTGTTTGATAACTTTTTAACCAACTGTTTTTTCATAGGGATTTTTCTTTTATCATTTTAAAGGACTTCATAATATCCTCAATATTATTGTTGTTACTACGGAGGAAGATCGTATGCCTAATATGCCACTATTGGCATATTTGATAAAGGATCTTTTCACACTCGGCAAAAACCGTCACGGAAAAGTCCATCATAATTTAGGACAAAAGTTTCAGTTGATATGTAACTTCCTGGATATGGATCATGAGGTAAGAAATGATTTCTATAGCTTATGTAGGTTTTGATTTTAATTTTTAGAAGAATTCCCTATTACTTGGCATCCCTATACTGACCAAATGCTGCCTATTACACAGAATATAGAAGAATTCCCCATTACCTGGCATCCCTATACTGACCAAATGCTGCCTCCCGACCTGCATGATCAGATTCAATACCGAACTATCGTCACCCATTGTTTTGCTACAATTATGTGGAGCCTCATTATCCAAATGTTATAGCAAAGCAGTTCGCGGAACTTGATGATATTGACTTGACCGAGGTTGGATCTGATATGGGAGTGATTATTTCAAAGGGAAATAAAGGCAATCATCCCATCAAATTTAAAGAACATTTTAAAAGAGAGTTGAGACAATGGGAAGATATTGATAGGCGGTTTTCACAAAACTTCCAAACTATTGAAGCATCCACTTCCGAGACGGCAGGTGATACTGAAGCACCCTCTTTCGAGACGACATGTGATCACCAATCACCCAATATTGAGTATAGCACTAGTGGAGGTAAAATATTTAATAATGTTATGTTTTAGTTATGAATAATGATAAGTAATCAGCGGTGCATGTTATATTATGAATATATAATTACGTTTTTAATTAAGAAAATGTTGTTTTTGTTTTGCCAAATTTTAACAATGTGATCATGTGTGACGTTGGTGATTGATTTTGTAGCATATGGGATTCCGATGGTTGAGGAAACAAATATTCAACTCGAGCAGAATGAGGTTGAGTTGAATGACAATGTGGAAATTGTTAACGACATTGGGGATGAAAATGCGGGGAGGGATGGTTTCAGAAGGGTGCGTCGGCGTGGGCGCGACATAGCGACTCCTCCAGCACCTCTTACAAGTGACAGAAGAGAGAGGAAGAAACCCGATAAATTTACACACTCAACTGATCACGTGAAAGCTATACGCGCAAAAACGAAGAGAAAGGTATGTTTAGTTTTCTTTTTATTTGCATGGTTTTATTTTTTTCGCACTCCATTATTGTTTATGTATTTTATCATGTCTTCTATTTTCCTATTACTTTAGAGCATGATTCAAATATTATTCTCTATTCGAAAGAAGTGTGGGATTTTGTTTAGGAAGAGTAATACCGTTCTTGGTCCTGGTTTGCATAGGATGCACATTTAGAGGGTTAATGAAAGGTTGATTAGGATGAGAAGTGATAGGGCTAGGTGTAGAAGTTCTAGTCTGTTACTAAAACTGTAGAGTATTGATTGTGTTTATTTCTTTGTTTCCGAATGCAGTGAGGAGCTGCTTTCCATGGCTGATATTGTTACTCCAAATGTTAAAGAGGCATCAGCTTTACTTGGTGATGGGATAATGAAGTCAGTTTATGACATGCCTACTGCTACAAAATTGTTACATGACTTGCAACAGGTTTGTTGCTACTGTGGAAACATACTGAATGTTTGGATATGTTTAACTTTTGTTATAAATGCACAAACTAGCAAAACACTTCATATTTTTTTTTATTTCACGTGCTTTCAATGTTGGTGTTAATGCTGATGAATTCTTTTCTCTACACTTTTTGATGAACTTGTGACTCGAGCCTGATATGAGAAATATAAGAATGAAGAACCACGTGAAATTACCATCTTTTAGACTTGGCACATAAGGAAATTAAAACCGTAGGGTTTTACTGTCCTTTAGATGACCTCACCTCTTCCTAAGGAAATTAAAACCGTATGGTTTTACTGTCCTTTAGATGACCTCACCTCTTCCTACCACAACGGGGGTAGATCAAGAAAGTATGATTTTCTTCGACACGAGAATAACATGTGTAGATGAAGAAATGAATAAACCCGTCAAAATTTGCATGCTTATATTTTATACATAAAAATTGCAAAAAAGCGAAAAAGTACACTCATACGATGATGTAGTTAACAAGAGTAATTAAAATATGAGAAAAAACCAAGAAATTATTGAGTAATATGGGAAAAAACAAAGAAATTGTTTATTTATCCTATAGGACGTGTCTCTCACCGTTAGAAATGAAAAATATCGTTATAGATATTTGATTTAATTTTTCTCTTTTCTCTTCTCTATTCTTCTTTTCTTTCTCTTTTCTCTTTTCTTTCTCGTAATTCGGTTATCAATCTTTGAATATATGGATAATTGGATATCTCCTCCAATAGTTTCTGCCTTTCGGCCTACATAGGATACGAAATGATGTTGTTCGATTCATTTTGGTGTCATTTCTTCGGAATGCTCTCTCTGTGTTTTTTTTCTTGATGATTTCTTTCTCTCTCTCTCAATGCGTGCGTGTTGGTTTCGTTTCTGTGCTTTTTCTTTTTTAATACAACGTTTTGGATTTTCCCGTGCTTTTGGATTCGAATGAACGGTTTAGATTGTTTGTGAGATGGATGGATTGACGATCGTTTGTTTGCGTTGAAAGTAAGCGGAAAAAGGCTCGAATTTCTAGAACTTCCCAAACAGATGGAGTGATTAGGAATAGTGAAGGGTTTAATAGAAAAAGACAAAAAAAAACGTATCAATTATGAAATAGTGTGATACATAGTAGTTTATCTTAAATTATTTAATTTTAGTAATCTTAATGGTTATAAATATTGTGAGTACGTGATTTCGATAACTTTTCTACTATTAATTCAATTTTGTAATAAAGTGAGCTAATTAATTCCAATACATTTTATTAATTGAAATTTAAATGATTTTTTTTCACTAGTACCGAGTCTACAAAATTTTACAAAATTATTTGGATGTATGTAAATAATATTAAAAATGGTAAAATCTTAAATTATTTAATTTTAGTAATCTTAATGGTTATAAATATTGTGAGTACGTGATTTCCATAACTTTTCTATTATCAATTCAATTTTGTAATAAAGTAAGCTAATTAATTCCAATACATTTTATTAATTGAAATTTAAATGATTTTTTTCACTAGTATCGAGTCTACAAAATTTTACAAAATTATTTGGATGTATGTAAATAGTATTAAAAATGGTAAAAGAATAATTTGTACACGGGGAGGATCTATATATGGGTAATGTTAATTGTGTTTTTGAGACATATGTTAAATAATCAACGAAAAGAAATTTTGAAAGAAAAATAAAAAAAAAACCAAAAATGAAACGGTGCGCTTCATTTATAATTGAGATTCAATCTCAACCATTTAACATCAATGATCCAACGACCAGGACTTGTTGGTCAACAAGTCTTATCTTCTTCAACCTTGGGACTCCGGCTAGGGCTCCGCCGGCTGCTCCGGCAGCCACGGCGGAGGATCAGAAAAGAAATATGGCGCGATGATTCCATCTGGATCAAAATTTTCTCCTGAACATGAATCTGGAACTTAAATCTCCAAAAAGTTCCTCCATAACTCAAACCGAGCCAAAACATTTTACATCTCAAAACACAATTCTCACATACAAGTAGTTTTAAACAAAACTGGACGTGTACATGTGCTCTACTACATCACACGACCTCAATGAACATCAAAGCATGCAATTAGAGCTATAAATGAGAGAGTTCTAAAGAGCTCAAACCTGAATTTGCAGAGGAAGTTGAATGAGAGAATACTAGAGGGGAGAATCCTTGCTCAAGCTTCTAACAACTTCTATTTGTCCAAATAAAGGAGTGTAGATGCTTAGAAGTGATTGAATTGAGGAGAATTGTGAAATCCAATTCCTACACCTCCATTGATGAGCAAACTCGAAGCTCTGTGTTCTTCACTATTCTACACTTGTTCAAGAGAGAAATGAGAGCTCTATGAAGTGTGTTTTGAGTGGAGAAGAAGAGGGAAATTGAGAGCTTTGTGTGGTGGAGGTTTTCAGAAATGAAGCAAATGAATCAAAAGTGTTAAACTCGAGCTAGAGGGAGATACTTATAGACACCTTAATTGGGGTTAATTGAGGATGGTTAATAGTTATTTTGATGGTTAAATGAGTTGAGCTTGTTGAGTGAGTCAACTGAACCGAGTTGGTGAAGTTTCTAAAATTTTCAAAATGAAACTTGTAGGGAAAAAAGGTTATGAACACGTGGGAAATGTTCATGTGGTGGCTGGCTAAATGAAGCCAATGTTCAGCTTGACTTGGAGCTGAAGGAAGATCCATCAAGCTTGCTTACATGAGAAGATGGCTTGATTTGAAAATGCAGTTTGAGGTTTCTTATGAGAATGGCTCGAATTTGGTGTTTCAAGGCTTGAAAATGGCTTGTAAACATGAGCTGCCATGTTGCCTTGATGTGTTTGTTCTTTTAACCAAAAGAGAACACCAATTGATTGCACAAATGCACATGTGAGCTGCTGTACCAAACTGGTCGAATTCAACTGAACCCCTCACTTTAACAAGCAATAACTTGCTCTACAAGCAACTACAAGACCTAAGGTTGAGCTCTTTGGAAAGCTGAGGTGATTGTGAACAAGTTTGATGTTGACCAACATCAAGATAGAGACCTCTAAATCCATGAAAAAATGAGCTGAACTTTGATAAAAAATTCTGCAACATTTACATGTTGAGAATGACCTATAATTTCAGCTTGAAAACTCAACTTCTTGGCCACAAATCTCTCCCATCTTTGAGAATTGGAGGAAGTCATCAGCATGACTTTGGAAGGATTTTCCACCCTCTACAACTTTGTAGTTGGAAATTTTCCCATTAGAGACCTCTAAATGGGAGAAAAATGATTATGAACATGATGCATCTCAACTGAAAAACACTTAGAAATTTTCTAAGTCTTTTTAGCACAATTTAACCAACTTTGATTGATCATAAAATGCTCATTCTTTTGAGTTTAGATGCAAATGAGATATCCTTGAAAAGGTCTTGAGGTCCTCTATCCACTGCAAAAAGAATCACTCTCAAACTCCACGTGGCTAGAGAGTTGTGGCCCTTCAAAGTGAGGTCAAAATTGACAAAAACTTACTATATTTAGTAACCCTAATTATCCAAAAAGGGAAAGTTTTCGATTCCTCTCATTTTCTTTGATTCTTTTGGGATTCCTTGACCAAGTTCTTACCCTAGGGTAAGTCCCACTTGGATTTTATGATTTTTCCCTTAAAAAGTCAGGGGTTGACTTTTTCACTAACTTTCCAGTTTTACCCCCAATCCTCCTGATTCTCAATCAATTGACCAATTGATCTACCTCTGAAAAGAATTTCTTCATGACAATTGAACCTAAAACACTTGGGAACATGTAGAAGATAATGAAATCAAGCTTTGACCAAATCTTGACTTCCTCAGGTGTTTTATCCAAAAC